GCTTTCAAAAGAAATATTACTCAACCCCCAATGCCATTTAAATATTTTGGGGTGATGCTTACCCTTGCTTGGGGGTGAAAGTGGCGGAGTCAAAAATACCAGCAAAGAATGTCCCCCTTTAATCTAAAATCGACGGGTCGAAGCGTGTTTCTACAATCTTGATGCAGTTCCTGAAAATGTCTCTGTTTTGTTTTCATTTGGCCACCCTGTATAAAGAAATAACCAGGAAAAGAATATCGGCAAAGAAAAGCTTGTGAAGTTTAATAATTTCTGTGAGGTTATTAACAAACAGTAAAAATAAAAGGGTCCAAGATTGGAATCCTGAGGGACACCTGAAGCAGCTTCAAATACCTGAGATTTAAATCCATTATAGGCAACAATAAAATCGATTTTTTGACAGCTGTAAACCGTAGTGAATTTATCGGATATCCTAAATTCTGCTAATCTAGTAAATATAAGTAAGTTTTACATGCTTTTAGTTTAATACTCACTTCTTTCATGTAAGCGGCAAAGGCATATCCATATTCGGACATTATTTTTTCATGACAACTGATGGGATTAGTCTTTATATTCCTTTCGGTGTAATAATGGTGTGTAATAGACTGGGTGATGTATTGCAGAGCATCGTAAAAAAGCACTGTTTCCGTCTGCAAATCAAATTAAACCGATTTGTTGTAGTTGTATAAACATATTTTGAGATATTTACATGTTTCCCAGTTATTCTTATTTCTAAACAGAGACAACTACTGGTCTATTTTTAATGACAGTCCATATTTATAATGGCTGTTTCTTTAAATCAATGTTAACTATGACGCACACAAAAAAAAATCATGTACTTTTAAACAGAGCGTTATGACCCGCTGAAGACGATGAAGCCAACGGAAAAGCTCCCACACGTCAGGATTTTTTCCTAACTTATAGCTCTAACAATAAAAAAAAATTGAGCATTATTAAAATGGAAAATGTAAACTAATAAAAAGTAATATGAGCCCTAAACTTAAAGAAAGGACGTGTTAAATGACTTACTTTGATTTGTTTCATTTCAAGGCCGTCTTTCGACCCCGTTATGATGTTCTTAAAGTCTTCACGGTTGTAATCGAAGAGCCTTATGGTAGTTATGTTTGCTGCAGTGTCCAGTTCTCCATAATTCAAAGTATGTGCGTCCTGTAATTTTGGAGGAAGAAATGAGATGGAAGACCAACAAATTAATGAGATTGTTAAAAATGGTTAAGCAAGTCGTTGGTTTGACATACATAACAAATGATTAAACAATATGGAATATGAAGTAACTTACCAGTGACGTCAAAAGATAGTTATTACGCGAATTTAGTAAATTTTGATCTTTAGCCTGTTTTAGAAACGGTATAATTCTTTCTGTTTTACAATCCAAAATTATATTGTCTCCCCAACCATTTTTAATTTCTTTTAACAAAGATCTAGAACAAAAAAAATTAATTACAGTATGTGAAATACAACTTCATATTGTTTGAATTTGTTTCAAGTATATTTAATGGTCAGAACAATTATTTTAATCCCATTGTTTTTAGTTACAAAAAATATGTACCCATATACTTTTTTATTTAGTAAATAACATGCTGAATATCCAAAATAAATAAAAGCTTGTTTATTTCACTAAAATATAGTTGCAAGCATTAATGACAAGAATTTTTAAGTGGCATGGTACAAAAGCAACACAGTCCCACGGCAAAAAAGTGTGATAGACTAGACTCCTAGACTCAAACGTTTGACGAAGGTTATTTGAAGGTCAATTCTTGTTTTTTTGATGGCAATACAATTTCTGTCCCTGGATTTTGACGGAATAAGAAATGTTACGCTAGGATACGTGGTTGATTTATTATGTAAGGTCAAGATCAAGGTTATTTGAAGGTCAATTCTTGTTTTTTTGATGGCAATACAATTTCTGTCCCTGGATTTTGACGGAATAAGAAATGTTACGCTAGGATACGTGGTTGATTTATTATGTAAGGTCAAGATCAAGGTTATTTGAAGGTCAATTCTTGTTTTTTTGATGGCAATACAATTTCTGTCCCTGGATTTTGACGGAATAAGAAATGTTACGCTAGGATACGTGGTTGATTTATTATGTAAGGTCAAGATCAAGGTTATTTGAAGGTCAATTCTTGTTTTTTTGATGGCAATACAATTTCTGTCCCTGGATTTTGACGGAATAAGAAATGTTACGCTAGGATACGTGGTTGATTTATTATGTAAGGTCAAGATCAAGGTTATTTGAAGGTCAATTCTTGTTTTTTTGATGGCAATACAATTTCTGTCCCTGGATTTTGACGGAATAAGAAATGTTACGCTAGGATACGTGGTTGATTTATTATGTAAGGTCAAGATCAAGGTTATTTGAAGGTCAACTCTTATTTTTTGAATGTAATACAATTTTTATCCCTGGATTCCAACATAGCAAAACATGTTACGTTCGGATACGTGGGTAATTAATTTAGTAAGGTCATGTTCAAGGTTATTTGAAGGTCAACTCTTATTTTTTGATGGTAATACAATTTGTGCCCCCAGATTCTGAAGGAGCGAGACATTTTGAGCATATGTTGCAGTTTGTTTTGAACTTATGCATTTAAAAATTACTGAATTTTGCTTTTACCTAAATTATTTTTAATACGTATGATTATTTCTTACACCCTTGTATGCTGTGCAAATACTAGTTCTAGCAACTTGAGAGCCTCTGTACTATTAAAAAAAGTGAAATGCGTTACATAATGCAGCGTCTATGATCTAGAGTTGGGAGACTGTTTTTAAGGTGATCTATTTTTATTAAAATTGGCTTAAACTGTTTTATGTCAAAAAGTTGCTACCTGTGGTCATTCCCAGCACCCAACTGTTTCACCAGAATGTTATTTTTCTCGCTGTCATGCTTGAAATCCCGGAGTTCAAGGATTCCCCGCATTCTCAAAAGCCCTTCCTCGCTTTCGTAGAGAATAACGGCGCTGCTCCACCGCAAACTTTTTACCACTTCTGCGAGCGCTTGCGCGTAGAGTTGGTCTTCTGGGAAAAAATTTACAACCATGTTAGTTCGTCTTGTGGTCGATGGTCTCCATGAGGTCATGATATAGGGCACTTCAAAGTGATCGCATATCGATTCTTGTACGGCTGACGTTAACGACTCGAAGCTTATCACTGCTGCCACTCCATTTCCGGCGTTCAACATTCCACACACTGAAAGGTTATAAGAATATCTTCAATATTTTCAGATACTTCCGGTTGTGTATGAAGACTAGTTTTGTTACTCACGAGTTTTGCTGGCTTCGAATGAGTCGACCTTGGAAATATTTTTAACATTGCTCTTGAAGAGGTCCTTCAAAATGTCCGCGTTCTTTTTGTGTAATGTGGAATTCAACGCAACCTCGAACTGATGATTTTCCTCACTCAGAAGTACTCCTTTAACCAGAAAATATGAAGTCATAAGAAATTGTGTATACAGGGTGTGTCGCATAAGAACGGACACAGAGCAAGGGCATGTAAGAAAATCCAAAATGCAACTTACCTTTATACTAAGCTGCACCACTCAGAAGTTATAGTTCTTGAAAGTGAAGTTTCAAATTTTGAAAAAAATCAATATATCAGTTATACTTGAACTTAGAAAAACCAAATTTGGTATACAGTGTGAGTGTGCCAAGAGCACACGATAATCGATAGTAAGTAGAGTTCAACTGGAAGCATTTCAAAGGGTTGATAAGGGATGATGCAGCATTAGGTAAATGTGTCAGAATTTTTTAACCCCCCAGCTTAGAATAAAGGTAAGTTGTGTTAAATCACCATATTTTGGGTTCTCCTACTTGCCTCTGCATGTATCGGTTTTTATGCGATACAACTGTACAAAACTATACAAAAAAGTTCTATCTTCGCTTTTTTTTTTTTGTAAATTTATTCAACAAAACTGAAGGCCGACCCTGTGTTATTTATTAAAAAATTTGGAAATATTTTTATGCTACCCGAGATGCAACAAGGTTAGGTTACATTGTCAAGAAATTTGTGCAGTCAACTGAATTGTATTTGCATTGAATTCATTATTCACTTAATTATTAAATATTAAGCATCGTCCATCGACCCATCAGTGTTAAAAAGTGAAAGATTCCAGACAAAAGTTTTTATTTTGTAATTCCACGACAGTCACAGTGTAATTTTTATAAAGAAGTAAAAAATAAGAATAGCGTGCCGATTACATTAAAAACGAGATTCATATTTTCATACTTTGTTTAATTTTTTAGTTTGTGCACAAACTAATTTTACAGTGAACCGAGACAACAATGCATTTACATTTTCCGAACGTGTCGATATGGTGTTAGTGTATGGTGCAGCCGGAGAAAATACGCTCGCGGCGACTAAGTTGTACCGGGAACGATGGCCACAACGTCACCCCCCCATGTGTAAATACAATCCTACAGTACCTTCAGCAGCTGCGAGATACGGGAAGTGTCATTCCTCGAGGAGAAGGACGTGGTCAGCAAGTGAACCTTAATGTTGAAGATGCAGTGTTGGAAAACCTTGACGAAGACCCCACAATTAGTACTCGACAACTCGCACAGCAAGTAGGAACCTCATCTCGTACCGTACATCGCATCTTAAGGCGCCAGCTGTTGCACCCCTATCATTTGAAACCAGTTCAACAGATTTTACCCCCGGATTGTGATCAATGAATACGTTTTTGCAGATGGTTTTTACGGCAATGTGCTAATCAAGTATACTTTCCTGCTAATGTTTGTGTAACAGATGAGGCGACATTTACACGTGATGACAATTTCTATAATATGTACAAAAGGGCCGATAAAAATCGTTACGCGATTAGGGAAACTCATTTTCAACATCGGTTCTCGGTAAATGTTTGGGCTGGCATAATAGGCGATGTACTTTCTTGTGGGTCCCTATTTCTTTGAAGGACAACTAAATAGACCAACATATGCTGACTTTTTGGAGAACCGGTTGCCTGAATTATTTTACGATGTGGAATTACAAGTTCGAGCACGTATGTTTTATTTTCAAGATGGGGCTACTCCACACAGTACTAGAGAAGTATCGACACTTTTGAATGAAATGTTTCCTCAGCGATGGATTGGACGCTTTGGTCCTGTGCCGTGGCCACCTCGGTCACCCGATCTAACTCCAATGGACTTTTATCTTTGGAGTCACTTGAAGTCATTGGTTTACAATACCCCGATTACTGCGGTGGAAGAGATAGAACTTTTTCCTATAAGACTCTTCTATTACAAATATCGTTAGGAAGCTCTAGTTTAATTTTTATAGACTATACACGCCACACCCTGTATAATTAAGGCTATTCATACTAGGAAAAAAAAGCATAGTAACTCTTTAACAAACAACGTGCGTTGGGTCGAACCGTAATTGATTTTCTGTTTCAGTTTTTCGAAAAACGATATAATAACCTTTTTGTGTCAAATTCAACACTCTCCAAACAGCAGAACCAGTTTTAACTAGTGGTATCGTGGGAAATAATTATTCTGCGGATTAAAGCCCTGCGCGACATTGAATTACACCAACAATATCAAGTAAATAGCTAAGATAATTCGTCAGTAGAACCATCAGACGTAAGATTTGTTCTAGCAAACTATTGTAGTGTGAAGCTGTCAAGTGAAGCTTTACTTTAACGATGTTAAATATTGAATTCACAATAGGAAAACCTTACCTATAGTTACATTCTGACTGGCCAGACAGAAATCTTGGTAAGCGACGAATGAAACGAGCCACAACACATTCTGAAGCACCGTCTTCATCTCGAACAAAACAAATCTTATCAAGTCACTTTTACATATGGTGCATATACGAATGTTGTGCTAGATACGTAGTATGACTAGAATGATGTTTCCTATTTAGTGTAGCGCCGGCTGGTATTTTATTTTAGTGGAGTTATAAATAGAGCTTGGTTTTTATTAGCTAAAGCGAAATATTCCTCAATATTATGAATAAAACAAATTAAAACAAATTAGAGTTGTTTTTATTATTACCACGCTGTTCCGGTTAATTAGATAACCTCTGTCGTCAGAACCGGTAAGGTTATCTTCGTCGAATACTTGCAACTTAAAATACATATAATTATCTTTCTGCTGTACGCATTTTTTTTCCAGAAGCAGAAACTGGGAGGATACCTGCACCATCGATTCATCTCTGTAAGTGAATAAAAAATCCTTTGTAAACATAGTTAGGCCAGTCATTATAGCTTTTTTTCGGGAAAAAAATACTATTAGAAGTTTCTCTGCGGAATATTGTTCAGAGACGTGTTATAAACAAAATATCAAAAAATCAACTCGAGACTAGTTGGGAAACTTTGTTAAAATAATGATCAAAATTATGGAAAAGTGTTTTTTTGACTCGCCTAAAAAAACTGTTATTCATAGAGAAAAAGGTTTATACAAAAAAGGTAGGTATTAAATAAATCTGTAAAATAAGACAAGTCCGATTAAATTCCGATAATTTGTTTATGCGCAAGAGCTCAAAAATGGTCGAAATTGTCCGCTTTTTTCAATTGCTAATAATTAATGCAATTTTCATCGCAGACACTTGTAATTCAGAATTTTTTAGGCTTTTTACACCCTTAATAAGTGGTAAAAATTTCAGCCCAAAAGCTTCATTGGTTTGACGTTGGCGGAATTTGTTATCTAAGAAGATGCTATTTTCAATTCATTTTTCCCAAGCTCACAGGCGTTGTAGGGTTTCGATCATTAGTTGTTTTTGTACCTAAATAGTTGTATTGACATATGCATTTACTG